GGGGGGGGGATTGGCTACAGTTTGCAGTAAACTGAGATGCCGCAGCCGGGACGGATCCTGACATTGCTGTTGAGATCCACCCAGCTGCGGGATTGACAGGGGGGTGAAGAGAACCCCGTAATTTGACCCCTAGGGAGGAGATGATAGACAAATATGGAAAGTGGATGATCCCGTATGTGGGCGACTGGGATAAGTGGACTGAAAGAGAATATTCCAGGTGAGGAGCATTAGAATCTAAGGCTTGGGAGGATTTATGGGAAAATCATTGTGACAAAATGACACGGCCAAATGAGAAAAATACTTGGGCCTCATGGGCTCTGGAGGCCTGGCAGCGATAATCAGATGTGCATGTGTTAAAGTGTTAGAACCACAGAGTCAGGGCAATGAATGAATTAGAGTGAACAGAAAGAAGACAAAGTATTAGAAATGGGTGACTATGATGCCGCACGTTCGCTAATGGAGACATTTTTAAATTCAGAAATTCAGTGTCAACACAGGGTGCATCAGCTGCAGCTGCCAACCAGGGAACAGAGTCACAATGTTCTAAGAAATTAAATGAAATACAGGAGGTAACAGAGTTTCAATGTTGTAAGAAACTAGATGAATTACAGCAGAGAATGGAGAAAGAGATCGGTGATTTTGGTAAAGATAAAAATAGAGTTTTTGAGCATATGGAAAAGTCACTGTCCTTAATAGATCAGTTGAGGAAAATTCCTTAAGCACCTACAAATGATCAGCCCCCTGCTTATAATTTAATGACGCTGCTTTTGTGCCCACACCATCAGCCTCTATGCCTACCCTAACACTACAAGGTAGCTCCAATTCAGGAATTAGTTCACATATCCCTGTAAGACAGCAATAATAAATTCCACACAGACAGCTACACATAATTTATCTCCGAACATAGGGATCCCATGATAGCACCAACATTTCAGAATTGTGAAACAATGTCTCTTACTCAGGAGAGCATACCTGTCTATCCTGTAAGGGAACAAGTAGCATATAATAATATAGGAGCACCCATGGGAAAAATGACACACCAAATCCCCTGGAACCCCTTCTGAGATGAAAGGATTTTTTTTAACCAGATTCCTCATCCCAGAACGGATCTTATGAAATTTGCTAAAGAAATTCTAGATATCCAAACCTGTTATAACTGGAGTGATATGATACAGATAGTTAAGAGGGTCTGCGGAGATGAAGACTTCAATGAGGTTGTCACCGAGACTGGCATCCCAAAAACGTTAGCGTATGATTCTAGTACTGCAAGTAAAATGTATACAAACCAATTGGCACAAATGATTAGAACTTTTTACTCACCGCAGTCATGGTCCAAAGTAACAGCTGTATCGCAGGCACAAAATGATTGTATGGCTTATAAAAAAAGATTTAAATGAGCTGTGGAGGCTGCTGGTGGGCTGGTGGGACATTACTGATGCTGCCCTAACCCCAATATTAATACTTCGTTTCATCACTGGATTGAAATGAAATATCAGGGAGAAATTAATGACGGCAAATCCAGATTAAGGGGACTAAGTCTCTCTCCTCTCTGCTGTCACTTGCCACTGTTAAAAGAAACAGAGCAGACTCTGAAGGACAGTAACCACAGGAAGTGTATATAATTTAACTAAGAAAGAAACAATAATAGCAACTTCAGACCGAGAAAGGAAATAGTCTGTTGCAATTGTGGTAAGAAAGATCAGTATAAGGAGAGTTGGCCAAGCACCAGTGTGAGATAAGTAACAGCAATCAAGAGTGAAATTTGGAAACAGTATAATAGTAAAGAGAGGGTCTGATAGACACATATGTGCACAAGAATTCAGATAACAGTAATATAGGACATGTGTAAGGCAATTGTCTATGTTTAAATATAGAGTGAATACGTTTCCAGCCGGCTGGTGTCCGGGATGTTTGAACTATGCAAAAAGTTGTTGAAAATGGCATATTTCACATGATCTAAGTTAAGAATGTGATGATGTTATTTAGTTTTTTTTGTGTAAGTGGAATACTTAACAGAAACTAACAAAGTATCAGCTTGTTTTTGTTTTGTTGCTTATTGTCACTTATCAGTGGCGTCACAAGGGGGGTGCGGCCCGCACCCGGGTGACACAGAATTACTGACAGTCATTTTGGTGTCACCCCCCTCTGAAAAGAGGGAAAATGGTAGTTATTCGACTGATATGGGTTAAAGAGTATGGTAAAACAAATGCAACTCGTGGTTGAAATGACAACAACCTGTGGATGACTTAAAAATAGATCTTTATAATGAGGCACGTGAGACAGAAAATAAAATGTATTAATCAACTGATTCCATGGTCTCATTTAGTCCATCTTGGCATAATGTTTTAAAGGTTATCTATGGTCAAAAACTACAAATAAATCTGTATTTCAATATTGAATTTCCATAAGTTCTATCTCACTCCTAATAACCATATGGATCCAGAAGTTTGTAAACTTGCTTATTGAAGATGCCCATAGGATATACTTCCTCAATGTACTGACCCAATTTCACTCAGCCCTGTGAATATGCACTTCCTTGTGTCACCTTCTGAACTACAACTCAACATATGAACAATGTAACATTATCATTGCTTGCTGGAAACAATACATGATGCAATATGTAGTGTTGATAAATTAAGATTTGTTTTTTCTATCAAGCTTTGATTGCATTATGAAAAAACAACTCTAGTATGTATTTATAGTACAATGCTGATGGTTTAACAGGATAGTATATGCTGGGACTTTACAGCTCCTTTAAGGGTAAATCCTATTGGATCTTGCAATAATGATTGCAGGTAAAAGTACAGAAATAGCAAGTATTTTAAATGCTTAATTACAGTGTTTTCCTTTCAATGCATTATTTGTTGGTCAGGTGCAACATGTAATACAGTCATTCATGTTTTTAACAAAGTATATCTATGGTGTTAGTTGGTGTTATTCCCCTTACTCCATTGAGAAACTGCCCAGTCTACCAGAGTAGTGATAGAGATTGATCAGTTGTGGATTATTTAGACTTGGTTGTGCTGCTTCCTGTGGGGGTGGACAGTATTTAAGGGGTGTGAATGGTTGCTATAAGTTATCTATGACTAAGAAAAAAGAAGGGGGAAAATTAGAGCGCAAATCCTGGGAATGTGGGGGGTATAGGGACAGCCAGTGTCTGTGTGTGATGGGTGGAAAAACAAAAATTAATCAAATCACCCTTTCACTTGAGCTTGAAAAAGAGGATCACCTCGAAACGCGTCGCTCCTTTACCACTGTTCCGTGCACGTCCCCTCCCAGCCCTCGGTCCCTTTCACTCCGTCACGTCCTAAGCACACTGCCATCAAGACCATAGGCAGCTTCTTCACCAGTCCCCGGGCACACACAGCATTCAGTCCACATTGATTCCTCCTTCATCCATCCCTCCACTTCCTGGGAGACACCGAATACATCTCGCACTGCCCACACTCCAAAAGGGCCCTCCATGACAGGACCTCGGCTCCACAAGTAAGTCCTTCACCTTTTGTGATTTGATTAATTTTTGTTTTTCCACCCGTCACACACAGACACTGGCTGTCCCTATAACCCCCACATTCCCAGGATTTGCGCTCTAATTTTCCCCCTTCTTTTTTCCTAGTTCACAGGTTTCTCCCCCTGTTCTTGGAGCAGCAATCCAGATCATTTGCACCTACACAGACCCCACATTCCTAAGAGAGCGCTGTGTTCTTTTTCTGTTATCTATGACTAAGGCTTGTCTAAAGCCAAAGCGCTCTAGCTCTTACACTTACTTACGTGCAATATGCATTCCAACTTGCTAGAAAACCTGACCACTCCAAAAATTGTCAATTCCCTAGCCAGCCCATTCCCTCCTTAAATGTTATGGTCCTCACTTTTAGGAGTGTCTAATTGCTCTCTGTGATAATCCAACTCCTCTGTCCCTCCCTTCACCTTCCTATGTAACCTTTATGTAGTTGCCAAGGGAGGGGAGAAGGGGAAGAAACTAGTGTCTTAGCTCTGAGTCTGCTGACATCATAGCCAAGATGGTGCCACCCAGCAGCACTCTTAAGGCTTTTGAATGTCTACAAAAGAGAGACCCAAATATTCTAATGGCAACATTTTTGTAGAAATGAATAGACCTCCTGTTTTGTTTGGGAGCATCCTGACATCCTCATGAGCTATGGTAATTTGTCCTGAACTGGCAAGGTTACAGAGTGGCTTTAAAAAAAACAAACAGACCAACTTCAGAGCCAGCCAACTGAATCACTTACCCACTTCATACATTTCTTGGAGACCCCACTGGCAAAAATTATTTAAAGTAGTTTATACCTTCTACATTCTACATTAAAGGCCAGGGGTAGGCAACCTCAGAACTCCAGCTGTTCTGGAACTTTGAGTCCTATAAGGCATCGCAAACTCTTTAAAGGGCTTCACTTTTTTATTGTTGACTTAAAATGGCCTACAAAGTTGTGTACTATGTTTGCTTGGGAGCATCCTGACGTCCTCATGAACTATGAGGTCTATTTATCAATGTTCTTACACAAGAATCAACTTTCACCCAGGAGTCACGCATTTTTACAATGGAATCCAATGTTTTTAAAAAGTGTGAATGAACGTTGTGTAAAAAACATTTATGAATAGACCCCTATGTGTCAATACCCTTATGCTGTCTCACAGCACAACTTTTGGAAAATCGGGTTCCAACCTACTTTAGTATACCGAGCCGAAACAGCATTATGGTGATGTTAGGTGGAAAATTTTAATGCAAACAGTGTTAAATGGTGTTTTGGTTTAAATATTATCCATTAAGACAAAGGAACTCTCAGGAATCTGCACCACAGTCGATCTTTCACACAATGCACCTCTACGTTTAGGTCACCCTGGCCAGCTTCATCCTGTTTGTTCAGCCTGAACAAATCTATAGCCAGTTAGTATTTGATAGTTCATGCTGTAAAGTCCTGAGTCACCAGGTTGAACACATTGCTTTCCAGTGAGGTTTGCCATTTGCCCCAGTGCCGCTGGATCTCAGCCTGAACCTGAAATTATGAAGAGAAAGAATAGGCCAGTCTTATTAGACCCAATCATGATATGCACTTCTAGACCGTCATAATGGATGTATACACCACCACTATCACAACTGAATTTCAGGAAAACAGTGAAATACATGGTTGAAATGCATTATGTGCTGAAGGATTTGTAATTCTATGCAGTCAAATCTGTGATCCAGGCATGGCCAAGCAGTACTACAGACTACACTGCATTTGAGCTACACAGCCTGATCTAGAACCCACCCCAGCCTACTGAGTGGCCAATAAAAAAGCAGCAGCACATCAATAAAGTAACCTCTCTACTCTCTTCTTCTTAATCAGCTTAAAGCACTGCACCTCTCTCTTTCAGTATGAGTACAGATGTACTGGGGATTGTGAGAGGTTGATGTCAAGACTTGGTGTTCATTCTAATTCTGTCTTCCAACCCTTTGGATATTTTAATAAATACTTAACTGGATTACATGTTGTTATTGTATATAACTGTTCTGCTTTACTCAATCTAGCTTTATGTAATGAATTCCAATGTTTCCCAGACTTTGGCCCATATACAGTTACATGTTTGTTGGACAACTGCAAACATTTATGTCAATGCTGTAGCAATGGAATACCTAGGAGATGGTAGGGCATATGCAGGGAAAGGTACGATATTCTACATCAAGAAAACAGCAAACATCCTGACTTGCAGCACTAGTGTCAGAGTGTTTTTGCAGAAGACGTGTATCCAAACCTCTGTCATTGTCCTTAGTGGTGAGACAAGTTGTTTTACATGCTAGTTTGTGAGTGTGCCATGATGCCTTTCTACTGTTCTACTGTTCAAAGCCCATTTCGTGTGCACCTTACTGTATAACTGGTAACAAATTGTAGTGTAATGCAGCACACAGAGTGTTTTCATATGCCCTCTAGCAAGGGAGCAATATTGAGGATGTAGTTACTTGATGTGTCCCTATGAGAGGGCACTTAAAAGGAGAACTATGAGGTGAGTGATTTTCACTCAACCTCATAGTTTGAGCCAATGTGCGACAATGAAACTGTCACACGTCGGCTCAATAGATCGGGAAGTGAGCGAACACATACCGTCGCTCGCTCACTTCTCTATCATCTCCCTGCAGAGAGCCGTGACTGTCACTCACGGCTCTCTGCAGGGATTCTCCCCGCTCCGATACTCCAGCGCTGACTGGCGGAACGGATGGGGGAGGGGGCGGTTACAGCTGGGTCTGCCTCTAGATAGGCAGATTCAGCTGTCAATCAGGCAGCTGGGTGGATCTCGACAGTAATGTCGGGATCCGTCCCGGCTGCGGCGGTCTCAGTATACCGCGAGCTGTAGCTCGCGTTATACTGAGCTTTGGGTCAAGGGAGTACGCTAGTTTGTGTCCTCCCATGACACTTAGGAGAACTATGGGAAAAAGCACTTACCCCATAGTTCTCCATTAAAAATCTCCCACTGGCTGTATTGTATACTGTCACTAGTTTTTTTATGCAGCAGGTAATTCTACACAGAAAGGAAAGAAAAGATAATCGGAAATGAAATGGGAACTGAAAGAGGAAAGGAAATGGGAAAGGAAAGGAGGAGGGAAAGGAAATGGGAAAGGAAAGGACACGGGAAAGGAAAGGAAATAAGAAAGGAGAAAGGAAAGGTGAAAGTAAATAGGTAAGGTGAAAGCAAGAGGCAAAAGAAGAAGGGAAACGAAAGGTAAGGAAAAGAGAAAGCAAAAGAGGAAAGGAAAAGAAAAGAGGAAAAGGAAAGGCAAAGAAAAAAGAAAAAGCAAAGGAAAATAGAAAATGCAAAGGAAAGGAAAGGAAAAAAGCAAAGGAAAGGAAAAGAGAAAAGGGAAGGAAAAAAGGAAAGAAAAGGCAAGTAAAAGAGCAAAGGAAAATATAGGTAAAAAGGGAAGAAAAGGAAAAGAGTACAGGAAAGGAAAAGAGGAAAGGAAAAGAAAAAAGAAAAGAGGAAAGAAAAAGAGGAAAGGAAAGGAAAAGAGCAAAGGAAAGGTACAAATTGAAGGGAAACGAAAGGTAAGGAAAAGAGAAAGCAAAAGAGGAAATAATAGGAAAAGAGGAAAGTAAAGGAAATGAGCAAAAGGAAAGGAGAGGAAAGGAAAAATTAGAGAGTCTTGGGAGTGATATGGTTGTAGATGGCAGACACTATACAGCAGGATAGGCAACCTTGGCCCAATCAGTGATGAAACTACAAATCCCATGATGCCTCTGTTTCTGGAAATAATGCCTGCTGCTGCCAGTGTCTTGCTATGCCTTATGGAACCTGGATTTCCACAACAGCTGAGTTCCAAGGTTGCCTATTCCTGCTATACAGTATAGATTGTTACAATGATGACATTATTACTCACATCTCCATTAAGAAAGCAATATAACAACGCCACAATGAATCCCTGGAGGAAAAGAACACAATAAGCAATCATTAAGAAAATGTAAACATTTCCTTGTTTAAAAGAACAGATTACTTCCTCCTTATTAGGAATTCAAAACATTCAAAATATTAATTGTTAAAGAATATATAGTATATAAATAATATAATATTCATTGTTAAAGAATATATAATATATAAAGAATATAATATTCATTGTTAAAGATTTGGATACTTTAGAAGAACAGAAAAAATATAAACTTTGAAAAAGGAGAGAAAAAACACAACACCCTTACAGGTAACTCATCTTTTAATTGTTACTTCTCTCTATAAACTGTGCATGGTCTAACCCACCACCTCCAATATAATACCCCCATTGGCAACGCTGCTGTCCCACCTACAGGTGCTTATATAGAACGCCTTTTAACCCATACACCGCCAAAGCCCTTTTTTGTCCATTTTGACACATGTTAAAATGCACATATGAGGCTTGAAGAACACGTAACATTCCCACAACAATGCATGTTTTCTGAAAGAAAAGCCCCTGTGTAATAAAATGTTGGCAGTTTTACATTTTTATCTCAAGCGATATTTGCGCTACTGTTTATCAAATCTAAATTTTCAGTAAAAAAGTCAGTACCCAAAATTGTCCGTAGACAATGCTTTAAGAGCCTTTACAGCCTAATAATTTAGGGTTAGCAGTGAATGATGGCCCTAGAACTATTGCTCTCACAATGGCAGATGTAGCAATGCCTAATATGAGTGGTGCAATCATAATTTTTTTGCGCATGCACACCTAATGAGCGTATTTGTGTTTGTATGTGCATGTAGATTTGGGTGGGGGGCTCACAAACATATTTTTAAGATTTATTCTATTAAACTTTAACTTTTTAAATTTAACATTGTTGATATCACACACGGGTGACAGGCCCCTTGGCAAGGTGACATGTTCTCCTAAAGGCGATATCAGGGGTCTATTAGCCACCTAATGTCACCTCTGCACTGTGTTGAAGCAAACTGAGCACAAGCTGTGCTCGTTTAGTTTCAACCCTAGCCAGAGCAACCAAGGTTTGACAGCTTTGAACACAGAAGTGCTAAGAGCTGAGCACTTCCAGGTTCATTCTACCCAGGGAATATCACAGATGGTGGGTAGGTCCTGGTTGGCTCCTCTCTAAGTTGGCCCTCTATGTATGTATGTATGTATGTGAGATAGGGACCTTAGATTGTAAGCTCCTTGAGGGGAGGGACTGAATGTGCAATTATATAAAGCTCTGTGTAAATTGTAAATCCATGCCCATCTCTATAAGCCTTTCAGGATAAATACTTGGCCTTAGGACCAGGTATCTCAGTTGTGTTTGTATGTGTATCTCAGTTCTACACTATTGTAACATGTCTGAAGTGAGAGTTAGGTCTACCTATGATGTCAATTACAGGCCTCTCTCATCTTTTTAAGTGGGAGAACTTGCACAATTGGTGGCTGACTAAATACTTTTTTGCCCATATGTATATATGAGAGTCTATTTGACGTCAATGGCAATCCTCCAGCATTATATCAACAACGTAATTGGCTGCAATTGTAAGATGAACACACAGTGAAGTGATCAAGAGAGATATGACAGTATCTAGGATTAGCACAAACCATTAAAGAGCTTATCGTGCTCTGGCAAATGTCTGCATAGACAATTTCTTCTTAACATGACTTTTGGAGCTGATAATGATGTTTGAATCCAATAAAACTGAGTTCACTGGTTAAACTTGGGCTATGGAAATTTTGTAACAATATCCAGGATAGATATGAGTCAATGCCGATCACAGGCATGCCATAAGCCTGGTTTTGTTGTCGCAGGTATATAATATAGTTTGTACCATAGACCGCAGACTTTTGGAGGAATCTGGAGACCTTTAAGTTTTAGATTTGTGTTTATTCAGTAGTAGGAGGTGGATTTCTCCTGGTCTCATTCTTCATTTAAGAAAGTTATTTATTATGGATTCCAGATTCTGAGAGGATGCATTGCTTAAAGGAGAACTATGAGGTGAGTGCTTTTCACTCACCTCATAGTTCTAGCCGACCTGTGACAATGAGACTGTCACAGGTCGGCTGAGTAGATCGGGAAGTGAGCGAACACATACCGGCGTTCGCTCACTTCTCAAACCTGTCACGGCTCTCTGCCGCGACAGGGGAGGGAATGGATTCCCCCCTCCCCGCTCCGATCCTCATGCGCTGACTGGCGGAACGGACAGGGGAGGGGGCGGCTACAGCTGGCTCTGCCTCTAGATAGGCAGAGCCAGCTGTCACTCACACAGCAGGGCGAATCCAGACATAATTATCGGGATCCGCTTCAGCTGCGGCGTCTCAGTATACTGAGCTTAGGGTGACGGGAGGACGTTAGTTTGTGTCCTCCCGTTACCCCAAGGAGCACTATGGGTAAAAGCCCTAACCCCATAGTTCTCCTTTAAAGTAGAATTCTGGGCAAACAACTAAAAAAACTAAAAAAGAAAAGCCCCACTGCAATGGTTAAGTGCTCATTTTGTCTATGGAGCTCAAATAAAGCTGTGTTACTCCTCTGATAAGCAGTCCTGTCCGCTACCTCCACGCTGCTAGACCGGTCCCTGCAGCCTCTTCTCCTATCGACTTCAGCGCACTAAGTGCTGCTGACGTCCTCAAATCTTATGCAGGTCCATTGACCTGTATTACACGTGAGAGCGCCAAGGGTCATTCCATAGCCAGAGCGGAGGGGCCAGGAGAGGTGAGCGCTGACTGCCATGGGACCGTGGATCAGGTGAGTAATACAAATTTATTTGAGCCCCCTACACAAAACGTCGATGGTGGGCCTTAACAATGTTTGCTACCAGAAGTGTGTTACATCCTTAGGTTACATACATTGGTTATCATTTTTGTAGAGGTCTAGATAAGTTAAGTTGCAAAGGTCAGAGTTCTGACGGAATCTGCTCAGAAGATGAACGAAGTTAGAAGTCTGCATTGTGCAACCTACATTTAGTCAAGTGTGGAATGTCCCTCGGCGTCCTCACATCTAATACATTTATTATATGTGATGACTCACGGGTCATTAGTCCATAGGTGTGGAGGGAAAGAGAGGTTGTGGGGGCCAGTCTACCAGCCTAAGACAGGGACAGGGATAGTTTATTTTACACTATAGACTAAATGAGCAGTTTCTGCTCTGAGTTTTTCTTTAACTTTGAAGTCTTTAAAGCAGAACTATGAGGGGAGTGAAAATCACTCAGCCTCATAGTTCGAGCCAACGTGTGACAATGAAACTGTCACAGGTCGGCTCTATAGATCGGGAAGTGAGCGAACACATACCATCACTCGATCACTTCTCGATCATGTCCCTGCAGAGAGCGTGACTGTTAGTCACGGCTCCCTGCAGGAATTCTCCCCCTCCGATCCTCCAGCGCTGACTGGAGAAATGGACGGAGGAGCGGGCGGGGACAGCTGGCTCTGCCTCTAGATAGGCAGAGCCAGCTGTCATTCACACAGCTGGGTGGATCTCAACAGCATTGTCGGGATCTGTCCCGGCTGCGGTGGTCTCAGTATACTGCGAGCTGTAGCTCGCGATATACTGAGTTTGGGTCACGGGAGTAGGTTAGTATATATCCTCCTGTGACCCTTAAGAGAACTATGGGTGAAAACACTTACCCCATAGTTCTCTTTTAAGGTATAACACTATGGGGTGTATTTATATTTTTTAAAAATCACAAACGTTTGTACTGTCCGAATGGAGGCAAACATTAATGTTATTAGTATATTTTCTTTCCAAGTCATATGTAATATTAGTAAAATACCACATTATGACCACCAGATGGAGCTGAGGAACACAGGAATAACAAGGTCCTAGAAAAGGGAATGAATGCACTGTAAAACAAAGGTATGGGGTTTGCATTTGGGATTTTCAGATACCAAGTACCGTACTCGGTACAAGTACAAGTGCAGATACTTTTCCAGCTCCAGGACTAGACTAGAAAAAAATTCTAAAGTTAGGAGGCAGCTGTCATTGTTAAGGAGCACACGGAGCTCCTGGGATTTGTGCATCCCCATTTTAATGTATGATTTTTTTTTAAATATATATATAAGTGATGCACCGATACCATTTTTCCAAGTACAAGTACTGAAACTCATAGATACAAGTACTCATACATTTTTGTTTATTGTCATGTGACAGTTTTTCTAAATCAATACAGACTAATGTTTTCAGGACAGCGGTGGAGCGCCAGAGCCAGGTCCCAGCTGCAACCGCTGCAACCCTGGTAGTTCTCATAAAAATGCCAAGTATCGGCACTGGTATCTGGACGTCCCTAGTTTGCATCTTCAACAAGTTGTGGAAAATGTAGGTTGATTCCACTGGCATCTACCCAAATGTGAACTGATCCAAGAAAAATATGGAAGATTCTTTAGCAGATTTCAACAAGCCAATGAAGGTTTTTGGAATGATACTTGCACCATTTTTCATGGTCCCTAGCAAACATCTTCTGTAAAACGCACCAAAAAGATGCAAAAGCACCCAGCCTACATAGATCTGTGTATGTACCTATTAACTGCTCATCCAATACAAACAACAAGTATTATTGATATCTGTGTAATTACCGTGACCATCTGACATTTATAAGTGGACGATATATAAATCAGTCAATTACCTGATTGGATCCCAGAACAAGTTCAAAATATAACCTGGCCCAAACTCCAATATGTTCAGGAAACAAAGCGAAGACAACATAATGAATTCCAAACAAAGGGATAAGGAGAAGAGTTGATTTAGCTAGTCTCCTAAGAAAAAAAATATATATATTTTAAGTATTAAATATAAAAAAAGCATGTGACCATTTTTTACATTCTTAAACCTTATAGTCTGTTTCTCACATATTTTTAAAGGGCCACTACAGCTCCAGCCATTCCTCACCCCCTACCCTCCCTGAAACCCTTCTTAGATCTTTCTTTTCATAAAAACAAAACATTGACATACTTTTTTTTCCTGCAGTCTTCAGGCAGGTCTGGTGCCGTCACATGTCCTCTTCCGGTTGTCCCAAGGCTTCTCACCGCCTGAGGCCGGTGGGTGGAGATGGTGCAAGCTAACTGGGTGGGGATGTTGGGGGCGAAGCTATTCCTCTATGTCAGCTTCCTGTCCAGTTTGGGTCGGATTCCCACTCAGTTCCTGGGCAGTGATGTCACTGGTTGCCAGGAGCTGAGCGGGACGCCAGCCAGAGCGTCCTAGGTTACTCCCGATACTTAACCCGATACCGGAACTTCCCGATTGGCCGGGAAGCCAGCTACATGCTCACTCGTCACCAGAGAGCATGGAGCTGGCATCCTGGCCAATCGGGAATATCAGGGGCGGATAATGACTCGCCCCGTGACTGGCCGGGAAGCTGGCTCCATGCTCCCTCGTCACTTATTGGCTAGGGAGCATGGAGCCAGCATCCCAGCCAATCAGGAAGCCGGGGGGCAGGTAATTACTCGCCGCCCGGTTTACTGATTGGTCGGGAACCTGGCCAATCAGGAAGCCGGACGGCGAGTCATTACACACCGTTCAGCTTCCCGATTGACCTGGAAGCCTGCTCCATGCTTCTTCGTCACCTGGGAGCATGGAGCTGGCTTCCTGGCCAATCAGGAAGTCGAGGGGCATGTAATGACTCTCCGCTCGGCTTCCTGATTGGTCGGAAAGTTGGCCAATCAGGAAGCCAGGCGGCGAGTCATTACCAGCCCCCTGGCTTCCTGATTGGCCAGGAAGCTGCCTCCATGCTTCCTTGTCACCTGGTGGCCCACATACACATCACCTGGCTAATCAGGAAGCCGGGGGGGTGAGTCATGATACGCCTCCCGGCTTCCTTAATGGGACATCCGGTTTCGGTATTCGGTATCAGCGAGTACCGAAAAAAAAATATCGGTACTCATACTTGATTACTGAAAAAAACGGTATCGATGCATCCCTAGTTTGGTCTCAAATTAAGCAGATTTAGTTGCCAACTCAGGCTCCTGCAATGGTCAGCACTCAGCTCTCTCCCCCCTCTGCTCCGGCTATGGAATGTCCCTTAGTGTCCTCACATCTAATGCAGGTCCATGGCCACCAATCTGGCTTTTTTATGTTTTTCTTTCCACGGTGGTGTCTTCCTGAGTATTCTTCATTTGAGCCAATTTTTGCTATCTTGCCATGGCTTCACTCGACAATAAGGTAGTACAAAGTTCTACTCCACTGGAACTGCCATCCTTTGAAGTAGCTTGTGATAAGATACTGGGATCTGTGCTGTCATATGTGTAATCAATTGTTTAACAGCCACTGATACCATCCTCTGCATTGCTAAACAGCCCTGCCAGCACCCGTGCAGCCTGTCTAGTGAATCTGACCATGATTTATGTTACATCCTAAATATGGAGGTAACATGATACATGTCCAGAAAGGTAAACTCAGCTTTTACATACTATACATACAGTATATAGCCTATCTGTATGAAGGAGATGTTAGTACTCCTGTAACAGAGTAGGACCCAGCTGTCGTTGGTATTTCAGGTGGCACCTATAGGTACATGCCCGCCATGCCCAATGATAAGTTCAGCCTGACATCTTATCCTCTGATCATCTGATGCATTTGCTGCCTTTATACTTCTATTCACGCAGAGAATCCCTGATAGCTGCTACTGAACTCAGGATGATACGCAGGTGTAGAGAGTAGAAAGAGCTATTGACTAAACAAAGTGCTGCTTAGTGGCCAAACACCAGGGAGATGAGATAGTGGGGTGAGGGTCTACAGGGCTCCAGCAAAAATTAGACAACTGCCAAGCCATTGTACTTGTGCCCCTATCAGCCACGTGACACTCATCCTGCCCTCGGTAAAAAATTTTACATAGTTACATAGTATTTGAGGTTGAATAAAG